GGACTGTGCTAGGTGTATTGTAATTGTACTGTATAATGAAATGCACAGATAAAAATACCTTCACAGTGCAGGGAGGAGAGATCAGCCTGCGTGGATAGTGAGGGAAGGCCAAATTTGGGCAATGTTCAGAGTCAGAGATAGAATTGCCAATAAGTCAGATGCCATCTCTCTTCTGATACAATTCTTGACACTCACTTCTTGAGATTTAAAATACTTTTTGTAAAAAGCATAAATTGAGTTTGGGTACAGAAATAAGAGGCATGTAAGTTTGAAAGTAAAAATGTAGTCTTGCTTCAGAAAAATTAATCCGTAATCAACAAATATCATTTTTAGGTCATTGACTTTTAAGGTATTCTGCAGCTTTGTTGCCAGGATTATAAAAAATATCATTGGAAATTAGACCAAAGGTATAGGGACTAATAGTAATAGAAAATGCCACTCGATTCCTCTGTTTTTCTCACCTCTCCTATCCCATCAATTTTAGAGAGACAATTTTACTTCCTAAAATTTCTCTAGTTCCCTCCTCTTCATCCTTTTATCAGGCAGTCATCATGTCCTATCTAGTTTCCCTGTCTGGCTCCCTAAAATCTGGCTCCCTTAATTCTCATGCTGATGCCAGAGTATGCTATTCAAAATATAAATCTGTTATTATGTCTCACTTAAAATCCTTTATCGGCTCCCCAGAATCTGCAAAAGAAAAAGCCAGATCCTCACTATTGAATGCCAGTACCTCCCTGCTTCCTGCCTTCCCCTGCAGGAACTCTGACCTGTTTGTTTTCTTCCCCTACATGATGTCAGTTCTCTCCTTCAGGCTTTTCTCCAGTTTTCCTCTCTGTCTGGCATGTCTCATTCATATCCTCTAGGTTCAAATTCTGGCAGCCTCTCCTTCAAGAAGATTCCCCACTTCTCCCAGGCTGGGTTTGTATCTGTGCTATATGTACATCTCTACTGAGGTAGGGGTTAGCAGGGCTAGAGCAAAGACTTTACACCTTTTTCTCCTATTAGAACAAGAATCTCTGGAAGTCAGGGATTATTTAATTTTTCTCCTTCATCTCCAAGGTCTTTGAAGTCCCTAACATGTAATAGGTATTTCACATTTGGGTTTGTTTTGGCTCATTTTTTTTTTTTTTGCTTTGTTTTGAAAAAAACAAACTATATTGTAGCTTAAAAGGGTTGGAAAACAACTAATTAAGGTGAATTCAAATCCTAACCTTTGATGGAATGGAGGATAAATGTGGATCAGACTGTATTAGTCCTAACCATTAACTAACAATTTTTTAATAAAACAATTTTAGTTTATAGAGAATTATTCATTAATTCAAAAATAGTTTTATATATTTTATATATTGGGACTTCAGAGAGTGATAATACATGGTTCATATTAAAGACCTCACAATCTAACCCTGTCTCAAAAATAACATAAAAAGGTCTGGGGATGTAGCTTAGTGGTAGAATACCCCTGGATTCAGTCCCTAGTACTCCCTCCCACCCCAAAAGACCTCACAACCAGCTGAGGAAATGACATAAGAAGCCATGACTATAGTGCTCTATGGTGTTGCATAATAGAGACATTTACTTATAGAAGCAAGAGGGAGTGGCAATCTGCCTAGAGTGTGCTGGCTTCTAGTGAGAGCTCACGTTTATTAACCCTATCCCCATCTAACCTCAAAAACTTTATCCTGATAAAGTAGTTCTCTTGTGAGATATCTGGAGATCTGGTCCAAACACATTTGCAAGCCTTTCCTTACAGTCATCTAGCCCTGAATTAATTACAGTGGACAGATCTAGACTTCCAAGATGGGTACATGGAAAAGGGCCAAAGGGGACTGCCTAGGAAGCCCCACTTGTAGTCACTTAGGTTTACCCCTGTTGTAGGCAAAAAGCTAAAAAGACTTCAGGACTCCAAGACCTAGCAGGAGACATCTCTGCCCAACAACACAGTGGCACAATTCAAATGAAAACTATGAAATGCAAAACTAACACTATGTGTTAAGGGCCATGAGGAAAAACTGGGGTACTTCCACACATAGGTCACAAAAATAATTATTTTAAAATAGAAGAGATATAGAATATAAGTATATTTGGTTTGAATAGGAAATGATAATCTCTTTCCAAGGATCATCTTCCAAGAGCTGTTCTGCTTGGTCATGTGAAAGAAGAAGTGTTTCCAAGCTTCAATTCTATATTAACTCCATCTATGATATAGAAATCACTAGCATTATATAAAAAGCCAAATTTAAATTAGCTGATTTGAAAAAAAAAACTGTCACAATTTGCAACTTAACAATCATGCTTTAATATATCAGGCCACTGGGAAAAGTAAAAGTTTGGAAAATATATAACTCATTCCAAATGACTGTCATAAAATTTGTAAAGTCAAAGACATTTATGTAATTGCTAGCAACCTTAGTAAGTAGCTCCATTAAACATGACCTACAAATCTTCAAAAATAAGGACTTAGCAATAACACAATGATTTGTTATATGGCCTAAATAGACAGAGAGAGCCATTCTTGTTTTAATGAGATGAATGCATATTTAATAGTTGTGATTAATATTTATTGAACCTACTGGGTGTACATCATTATACAATAAAACTTTACATTACTTAAAGATAGTAATTAGACATATGTAGTAAGATTTTTCAAATATATATAAATGTTACACATACACACCAGGTCCTGCTTTTGTCTCATTTTACCTTTTCTTCAATATGGGTTGTCTAGAAAAATGATCTTAAAAAAAGAAGACAAAAAGACTGCCTAAGTGCCACACACTGTGCTATATGCAAGAGATACAAAGATGTCTGAGATATGATTTCTGTTCTTAAGAAGTTCACATTCTAACAAGTTATTTCAAGGAATAATTATGATATCCTGTATGTTTGAATAAACTTTTGTTTGAACAAATTTTGACTAATGCAAAGAGTGGAGTTAAGGCTATGATGAAGAGAGGACATCTGATCTGGGTCTTGAGAATTAAGAGGTCTCCAGGCAGTGAAGGGAAAGGCATTCTAGGCTGGGGGAAGCATAGACAAGAGACATGGACAGTGAATTCTGAGACAAGGGTAAGAGCATATTTCTGATCCTTACAACTACTACAGATTCCTGTTATCATAGTTGGAACTTAATAAACATAGTGTATGTATAAATAGCAAATAAAGAAAGTTAAAAATGAATGAACAACAGTAGTATTCTCTCACTTTGTATTCAGAAATGATTCTAGATTCCTGAGACAGAAGAATATAAAACAAATAACAACAACAAAGAAACCCCTTTTGAAAGTCCATGAATTTTTTGGGGAAAAAAGTGTTTACCCTCCTTGTTCATTATAGCCAGATGGGTGGTAATAGAGACAACAAAGTCCTCCAGAACCTATTTCTGACTAAATCTATTCCATTGTCCTAGATGAATCACACTTCAAGCTTTGCCTGTGGACAAGAGGCTCTCATGGTTTGGCAGTGAGAGTGTATGCAACAGCTATAACATAAGCAGCTTTTCCAGCCCATAGCTTATCAAGGGTAATCATATCACAACCCAGAGTATGAAGGAAATAAAGTGAAAGTAAAAACCAGGGTTTGGATAGGAAGAGTGACTAATCAGGCCCATGTACTATGTGTCGGGGGGATATACATAGGTTGGTGACATGTTTCCCAACAATAGCTCCACAGGGATTTGGGGAGTCTTTTGTGCATATTCTCTTATTTGTAATATTTATTACTTATATCATTATTTAGTTAAGACTAATTTAAACTTTAGAAAATGAGTAATAGTTATATTAATCCCCACTAGTTATGTTATACTTCCCAAATCAGCTGTGTTTTTTCCCAAGCCTTGTTTATGCTGCTTAAATAATAAATGTAATTATTAAATGTTTAGTGAACTCAGAAGTATGATTGTTAAAAAGAGAGGGAAGGTATGCTGATTCTCTAAAAACAAAATAGAAATGATTTAGAAAAATTCAACAAAGCTGAATTTTTGTCCACCAAAATAAATCTGTCTAATTAGGTGTGCATGAAATAAATGTGAAAGACATGATGGGAAAGGGTCATTAAAATATCAAATTCTGTGTGGATACGTGTTTCCAAGTATTTTTATGTCTTTGGTTGGTTTAAGAAAACCAAAATTGGGTATAACAAAGGATGTAATGTGGATGTGCTTTATACAAGAAAACAACATGGTACTCCAAATCAGGTGATCCATAATCAAAGAAAATGTATAATTCTGACATTAGTCATCACTTCCTGATCTTCTAATTAAACATCCAACTTCTGTTCTCAAGTTTACTGCATAAGATAACTTCTGTTAAAGCTGCTTTGTGGCCATTCACTATTTTCTTTTTGATTATTAGTATTAGCCCACCTTCTTACTCCTGGGAACATATAAGTTATTGAGTGGGTACAGTAGAAAACACTAGACCAGTATTCAGAAAACAAAGATTTTAGTCCTTACTTGGATTATAGTCTTGGAGATCACCTTGTCTCTTTGACCCTCTGTTTTCTCATCTATAAGTTGCATGTTTTGGGAATGAGGATAGACAGTAGGTGTAGATGACTAGAAAAGTTGGATTAGATAATCTTTCTGGTCTTTTCTGATTATCAAAAATGCCATTCTGTAAAATTTGGTTCATATATGATAAGCGAGATGCCTTAAAACATTTATTAGGGATATAATAGATAAAACTATTTTGAAAAGAATATATAAATTCACTCTTAATGTCAAGAGTAAGTACATTTACTTGAAAAAAACTAAATCTCTTGGAAACTTTAATTAAAAAAAAGAAAATACAAAATGAACCACATTTATATAAATGATTAAATAAGATTTAAGTTATCAACATAAAATTGATATTGATATCCTTATAATTTGGCAATGAGAAAAGATCCATATTAATCATAAATGCTCATTCTTTTTATAATAATTAAAAAACTTTTGGTAAAAATCATTCTTCTTAATTATAGTTCCAGGGCTAGGGATGTGGTTCAATCGGTAACACGCTCACCTGGCATATGCGGGGCACTGGGTTCAGTTCTCAGCACCACATAAAAATAAAATAAAAGATGTTGTGTCCACCGAAAACTAAAAAAAAAAAATATTAAAAAAAATTATAGTTCCAAAGTAGATTACAAAAAAGCTGCAGTTCTAGGAATAGCATGCAACACAAAATTGTCTAAATAATTCCCAGAGTCAGTTTTAATTTTATAAAAAAACAAAAACAGTTATTTATTGGAGAAAATAAACTACCCAAAGAACTAAGTGCCTCCTTCTTTAAAATCTTTAGTCCTGCAATAGAACTAAAATAAAGTTAAATCTAAGATTTGATTTAAGTCACATCTGAATTGCTTTACCAGCAATGTGGTCTGTCAAAAAATAGATAAAAAGAAAATTAGATAAAAAGAAAATTATTAGAGCACACTGACTAATACTTGCTTTGATATTTTTTCCTTTTAATTATTAATTGAAGTAGTGCCTGAATTACCTTTGGTGCCACAAACTAGATCCATATACAAAGACAAGAGATCTAAATTTCAGTACACATCAACTTTTAAAATAATCATTTGCCATTTGTGAGTGGGAAAAGTAACACAAGTGTAAAATTCAGTTTATACACTGCTTTGGAGTCTATATCAATTTCAAATTTTCTTTTATGATTCAGCTATTCCAAGAGTTCCAAGAGTCTGAAAATATTTCATTAAAAATTAATGTGTTATCCACACAAATGGCAAATATTGAAAACTAGGAATATAAATATAAAATAATAAAAATAGTAAGTCTTCTAATACTGAAGAGGAAGGAAGACAGGAGGGGAGGAGAGCATGTGAAAGGGAGAGTGATTTTAAACATCCGGTTTCTATTCTAGACCATTTATGGAAACAGACAGACACAGCAAGCAGAAGCCAAATATATTCTTGGGCTCTGACAGGATTTGTTTTCTCTCTTGTCCTTATTTTTACTGTATTCTTCCTAATAATATTTCTCCAGTGTTCTAGATTTCCTGACCGACAATGCTAGTCTCATTAAGAGCCTTCAAAGGAGAAATGGGGAGGACTCAGACACATTATAGAGCCTCCCAAGGCTTCTCACTAGGGGTGCGAAGCTTTCCCAGCAACTTTTCATCACAAAGGCACACATCATGGCACTTTCACCCCCATGCATGTATTCTTCCCAAACCCCTCTGAATGGTTTTCTTAGGATCCAGTATGCAATCCCTGGCAGAACAATAGGTACCTAGAGTATTATAGAAAGGTGAAGTTGAAAGAATGATGTCTGTTTCACCAACACTGGCATAAAAACAATAAACTTGACAACATACATCCACTTTGCTGACCTTCTTATAAGAAGTATTCCACATTAGGTAGGAAACAAGTTCTACCTTATTCTACCTCGACCCATTCAATTTAAATGCTTCTAAGAGAAAGCCACATTACTTATCAAATAAGCAGCAGGGACACACCCTTGATCCTACATCAAAATAGAATCTATACTGAAGATTCTCTACACCAAAGATAATGAGGAAATTATTTTGAAAATATGAAAGATCTGTTTAATGCAGACTATAAAAACATCCCTTTGCATCAAAATAAGTGTCCCTCTTTACTGACACAGATTATTTTCTATAGAATTTAAATTGTACATAAAATTATGATCGTGCCTTGTTGAATGTAAATTGATTGTCTCAATTATTGGGAAAGGATTTGAATTCTAATGGGCTATTTTGCTGGAGAAAAGCCAAGCAAATCAGCAAAATCTCTAATAGCTCTAACTGGAGGTAACAGCCAAACATTTATATAAGTCAGGAAGATGCTGTAGTCTCAAGAATTGATCCCAGAATGGTCTGAAAAGGTTAGCAAGATTTTTTTCAAATAAAGGAAATCAGCTTTAGCTTTCCATATTAAAAGATTATTTGATTGTGAGACTCTAGTTTTTCTCTGAGAAGAAAAAAAAAAAAGGCAAGATCCACACATTGTTAGAAAGGAATTTTGTGGTTCTACTTTTTAAAAAATATTCTTTCTTTCTACAAATTAGATTGTCTATAGAAATCTGGGCTTTACCCTGAAGATAGAACAAACAAAATCTAGTGGCACTGTGACACACTTGAATGCTACATTTGATATCTAAAGGCAGGCCACTCCAGGAAGTTGGCTGCAGACACATCCCAGCCACATGCTACAGAGTTACTGCTTGACATATCTCCTTTGTATAAATCCAGTGTCTATGAAGTCAAACAGATTCCTTCCATACTTATAATCACATGCACAGGCAGACCTTAGTTGTTTTGCTACCCAGATGGTTGCAACATTTTTATAGTTAAATTACAGCCAGAGGTATAGATGCACATCTGCCCCAGATTGCCAGCTTTCTAAGATCTTATTCACAAACCTTCACTATCAAGAAACACTGTTGATAAGGGTGTAAAAATCACCTCTGAGTATAATGTGATGAACCATTTACTATACAGCCACATTTATACCTCAGCTATTAACCATAATGGATTTAATTGCTATAAATCTGGGATATTTTAATATTTGAAAAGAGAAGGTTTTAATGATTTCTGTCTTGCAAGAAACTATTTTTATTATGGAAAACTTGCAGTAATAATGTAAACATGCATATAGATGTTATGTAGAGTATACCTTAAGATTTGGGCCACTGAATAAGATTTATTCTCTGATTGTTAAACTTTCTTGACTGAATTTTTAAAGAATAAACTGAATATTAGTAATTTCTTCTATATCAAATTTATGAAGTCTAGAGAGGGCCATAAGTTATTATCAATGACAGTTGTAATTGATTCCTTCCTAACTGCTGATCTGGCTTCTATAAAACAGTATCAATGTTAAGATAGTCCAAAGTCTATATGACATATCTATACCTATATATTTTCAAAAGAACCCAGAATTTTCTGCTAATTAATTGATTAGAATTCTATGTTTCATAATTACTAAGAATCAGATTTTGGATAAAATCCTAACTATGAATTTTTAATAAAATGCCACATCCAATGCACACCATTTCACTGCATGAGTGTACAAAATCTGACCACAGATTTCATTCTAAAAATGAAGTGGCATTCTAGAAAACAAGAGCCAAAGAAACTGAACCATGAAAAGAAGGAAGAAAAATCATATGAGGGAACTATCACACAAAGAAAGGAAGGGGAAGAAACAGCAGATAAGTAGCTCTGGTTGGTCAGGAAATAATTCAGCATGAGCAGCATGTTTGGCATCTTAATACCCATCCACCCCCATTCCCCCATTTACAGCAGACTGGATGAGAGCTTCACTTAGCAGTAAGTCAGCAACACATCAGCTAGACGGATGCCTACTTTCTTTTAATGACACATTTGCCTAGCATATAAACATTAAAATTTACATTTAGTGGAAAACAGTGAGTCAAAGCTACTTTAATGATGCTTAGGATATTTATAGAGAATGTCTTTAAAATACCTGCTTTTTAAATGCTATATATTTTCTGTGGGTGATAAGGAGAAAATGGCTCTACACATGTTCATACATAAAAAGAATTATTTTATAGATAATAGCTATTTAAAGCCAATTAATTATAGAAAACAAGAAACTAGAAAATATCACTATATATCATTTAGATATTATCACACAACCAAACATTCTCTTTAATTTGTTATACTTCCATCACCAGCAGACCACATGTTATACTTGGCCAAAATAATGCATAAAAGTGCTTTCTCCCAAATATATTCATTCAACTAAACTAAGGAAAACATTTTCTTTTCTTTGGAGAAGGAAAAGTTTATCTGGGGGCTCACGGTGTCAGACGTAACAGTCCATAGACAGCAGGCTCCATTCCTTGGGGCTTGAGGTGAGACTGAACATCAAGGTGGAAGAGTGTGGCAGAGGGAAGCAGCTAACATGATGATCAGGAATGAGAGAGAAGGGCATGCCACCAGGGACCCACCTCCTCCAATCATACCTACCCATCTTCATTAATACATTTTGTCCATTAAAGGAAAACATTTTTTAATAAGCACTAAAGGTATTGTTCTTGTGTAATCCTCTCCAAAGTTATTTTGTTCAAAATTATCAAAGAAATGTTAAAAAAAAAAAAAAACTTGATATTCCACAAAGCATTTAATTCATTTTGTTAAGGAGAATCTAGATTTCAATCTTTTGTGCAAATCAAAGAGCTAAAAGAGCACGGTGGGCACTGCTGTCTAAAGGGCAGCACTCACAAGGTAAAGTCCAAGACAATGGTCTTCTAGCCACCCATGGGATCCCAACAATTCTTCCTTGAACTAACCCACAGGCTCTCTGATAGGCGCACAGTACTGCCCTTTCTAGGTCAGGTGAAAAGAACTGTCCTTGGAACAAAATGCCACAAAAAATGGCTTAAAATTGAGTATTTCCCAAGAAAAGTGAGGGTTTTCAATTCTACCAGTGAAGCTTGGTTTTAAAGGAAGACATGTTGTATTTTCCTTTGTCTTTTCTTAAATTTAATAATGATATACTACAAAGTTGGAATTGCAAAATAAAACCTAAGGATTTGGGGTTGGGGTTGGGGTTGTGGCTCAGTGGAAAAGCGCCTGCCTCACACGTGTGAGGCACTGGATTTAATCCTCAGAACCACAAAAAAATAAGTAAATTAAATAAAGGTATTGTGTCCATCTACAACTAAAATATACATACCTAGGAATTTATTATTCCATCTACAACTAAAATATATATATATATATACATACATACCTAGGAATTTATTATTTTATTTAACAAAATCACACTCTATGTGCCAGATGGACTCTGAGTTCACTTCAGCCTTATAACAACCCTACAAGGTGGGGACTGCTCTTTCCCCCTTTTACAGACCAGGTGACGAAAAACCATGTTTCATAGACACTTATGGTTTTTCAACATTTTTCACACACCTGGTGAGGTGACTCATTGTGAGGTGAAGTAACTTGCCCAAGGTCAACAGTAGGTTCAGTGGCAGGGCTGGTTTAAAACCCAGGCAGAAAGTCTCCAGAAATTGCTATTATCAACCACTAGGCACCATATGCTAATTAGTAATTAAAGTCTTTTTAAAAACTCATTTAGTTTTACTGGAAC